AGTTTGTTTTCGTTGTGCTGACTTTTTACAGTCGCTTAGAATAACTGGTACTGCGTACTAGCTAGCATGATGGAGTTTATATACTGCTGGGCGGGTGCTATGAAGTTACTGATAGTAAATTTTATTTTATGTTTAAGGTTAGTTTCTCAAACTCCTCAAAATCTTAACAAATTGTGCCAATCCTTACATGTTGCACCAGCTGATTTATCAGCAAAAGTGGAGAAGTCTGTGACAGGAGACAGAAGAGCAGCAGAGAGAGATGGAGAGATGACTTTATGTCATCCATGAGGGATGCATTTGACATATGTTTCACATATTATAGCCCAACAAGTTACTTATAGCAATTTAAATACGAGCAGTCAGTTTTTGGCAAATACCGGAAATCACTTTTTGGCACAACACCGGCTATTGCAGTTAATAATACAACAGCTTCTTGCCATTTTTTGTGTTTCTTTTTATCGCTGTGTAACTGAGTTCAATTGAAAGCCTGCGTGCGCTAGTACCTCTTGCAACAAGTTCCCAGAATCCTTTGCGGTTTTACCCCTGAATGACGTCACATTTTTGGTGGGCCGGTATCTAGTCAAAATGCCCGGGCCGATTTTTTGTGCCAGTCCAGCCCTGACCGTATCTATTTTGCTCACCTATAAAACCTTAAATACTAAGAATCACCTGATATGCACAGATCATGTTGCAGGGTTTTGAGACAAATTTAACGCTGCCAGCTTTGCACAGATCCAGAAATGTAAGCTGCTTTCCAAGTCCCAGTGTAAAACTTGGACATCTAGGCTTCCACTGGTGATGATCTGTTTTTAATCAGGTTTAGGCATTTGTAAAATAGTTTTACGTGTGGTCAGATTTCTTCTTATTTGCGTGTGGATTGAAGCATGCGCTCACGTGTCCTCAAACGTTACACACAAATCCCTGTAAACATTTGTAAATCAATTTATGCTTGTGGATCACATTGTACGCATTTGCAACCCTTTTGAGACAAATTCCACTCCATAACACATCCACAAGTCAGTGAATCTCTTGAGACTCCATACTGAACCCAAGCTATTCCGACGTGTGCATACCTGGCACTGGTGGTCTGTTTCGAGTCCATCCCACAAAGTCATAAACTGAGCCTTCATCATAGCTGTGGCTTCATGATCGGTGCTGGATCGATTCCTCAGAAAGGAATCTGTTCAAAAAACGCAGAATAGTTTTATTATTTCAGTTCGGATTTCATTGTTTGAAAATGTTTAGTGTAAATTTCCGTTTACATTTTTTGCCTGCGTATTGTTAGAGCTGGGTATCGTCACTGATTTCTAGAATCGATTCGATCCACGATTCGATTCAATTCGATTTGAATTGGGGAAATTTTGCCTCAGACAGTCAGAAATATTATAATTCTGATCACATATCAGTACATTTCCATATTTTTATATCTATAAAAAGAAAGCTGACGCTTGCGAGACTTTATCAAAGGTGTGAGCATCACAATAGATGCCTTTGTGTTAAAGTAGCTGAGGATAAAACACAGAAAAACATGAAGGTGATTTTCCAGGCCTGGGATTTTATAAAAATATTCTGCAGTAGATCAAAAACGAAAGAAAACCATTGATCACCATATGAACATTAGCTGATTCTGTAGAAGTGAAGCAGAGCAAAGTTACAGAGGTTTTATTAGAGACACAGCAAAGTTTTTTGCAATTTTGCATAATTTTAAAGGGATTAAGATTACGTCCACACGTACCCGGTTATTTTTGAAAACGCAGATTTTTCTATGCGTTTGCACCTTTCGTCCACACGTAAACGGCGTTTTTGGTCACTGAAAACGAAGATTTTTGAAAAATCAGTTTTTGCATTTATGTGTGGACGGGAAAAACGGAAAAAACGCAGCGTCAAAGATGTGCGCATTTTTTGACGTCACACTGTGCGCCACGTTATTGTTTCGGTGAAATGAATTTCTACAATACTGTTACTGTTAATTCTACTCTCTGCAGTGTTTAAATGCTTACATATTCATATTCCCTCCACACATACAACTCGGTTCTGCTTCTACGCCCCAGCTTTGTTTACTTTTTCCCACCGAGGCTTGTAGACTTCTGATTGGCCAACATTTCTGCACGGTTAGGAATATATCGCCACCTGTTGCTTTGGCATGTTCATAGCAGCGTTTTCCTTCATTTCTGCCTTTACGTGTGGACGGGATTATTTTTTAAAACGAAAGCAGAGAATCTCCGTTTTCAAAAATACCTGTGTACGTGTGGACGTGGGCTAAAATTGTTCAGTATTGAACAGCAGAAATTAGGTTTTCTTTTCGGAAGTAAGTAAAAGGAAAAAAACAGCGACCGACAGCGTTGTAAGAACAGTAGACTTGTGTATAACAAGCAAGCGAATAATGCAGAATTAAACAGATTATTAGACGGGAAACTGTTCTTGAAGTACACTGTGTGTGTGAGAGAGAGAAACAGAGCTGCGCATGTAGTGTGATTTTATCATGGTAGAAGCAAAACAGCAAAAGTAAAAAGGAATTCATGACGATGTTTATGTGAAGCGTAGTTTGGATCATCTTTTGCGGTTGGTTCAGTCAATATTGTTTGAAGAGAGATAAAACCTGCAGCTTCAAGATGAAATGCAAAAATGGCGTGAACACAAAGCGTGGACCCGCCGAAACATCAGAATCAGCGAGCTGTCGGCTTTCAGCCCAGACCGTGACCGTGCTGCCACATCTCACTGATTCTGATCCGTGTTTATGTCTTTGTGCACAATCAGTGCTGCTCTCATTTACTGTTTTAGCTGTTTGGTGGTTGTTGAAATTTTGTGAGGTTTAACCTGAAATTCTGGCGTTTTGGGCAAAATAAATTTATATTGAAAAATCGATTCAGGGTTTTAATGAATCGATATCACGTTATCCAAGCCAGAATCGATTTTAATCCATAAATTGATCATCAAAACCCACCCCTACGTATTGTCTATGGTATTTGTCAAAATGCATATAATTAAGGCCAAATATTAAAGCACATTAAAATCTCTCTTTGCACTGGTTGTGCAGACCAAGTTCACTAAAAGCAAAATCGGTTTCTTTATATTTTTAATTTATATTTTATTATTACTATTACTATTATTACTATTTTGTTTATTTAAAAAGCACATACCATTGTTTAGAATTTTCTTGTTTCAAAATTTTAAGGTAGAGTATGGAAATATTGCCACTAAATGTTATCAGATTGTAGTCAACTGAAACTTGGTTTGTTTTAGTCAACTTAATGTGTGTGTGCATGTCTTGTTCACCTATCTCGTCAATGAAGATGATCGTTGGGGCTAATTTGGACGCCAGTGAGAACACAGCAGCAGTCAGTTTCTGGGACTCTCCGTAAAATTTATCTGTCAGCGTGCTCGGCTTCAAGTTGATGAAAGTAAAGCCCGCCTCTTTTGCTGTCGCCTTGGCAATGAGTGTTTTACCACATCCTGGGGGTCCATACAGCAGCACACCTGTTGTGAAGACAATGGGAATATACACTGGTTAAAATATTGTTTGTCACTTCTTCCCATTTTTCATTTTTTATTATTTCTGATTTTTCTTTCCTTCTTCCTTCCTTAACATTTTCCCTGCACTACTTCCTTCTTTTTTTCCCCCTTAAATCTTAAATATTATTCAGAGTCAGTTGCTAAAGACCCCAAAGAAATATGATTGGCTACCCCTATTTATTTTAAAGCTTACTTTATTTTATATTATTTTGCTGATTGTTAAAAAGCAAACTACTACAATAAAAATACAAAACATCCCTTTTCCCATAATAAATCTGTAATGACTATAGGGCAGATGAGGCACATGAGCTTGAAATTATATATTTTTATGAGTTTTCTATACTGATTTTACTTCTGGTTAAATTTTCTAAATACACGTGTACCTTGCTCTTTCTCCTAAACTTCTTTTTGACCCCTTCCTAGCATCCTTCTTTTCCTTCTGTTTCCAACCTTTCTTTCTTCAATTCAATTCAATTCAATTTTATTTATATAGCGCCAAATCACAACAAAAGTCGCCTCAAGGCGCTTTATATTGTACAGTAGATACAGAGAAAAGCCCAACAATCATATGACCCCCTATGAGCAAGCACTTTGGCGACAGTGGGAAGGAAAAACTCCCTTTTAACAGGAAGAAACCTCCGGCAGAACCAGGCTCAGGGAGGGGCGGCCATCTGCTGCGACCGGTTGGGGTGAGAGAAGGAAGACAGGATAAAAGACATGCTGTGGAAGAGAGACAGAGGTTAATAACAGATATGATTCAATGCAGAGAGGTCTGTTAATACATAGTGAGTGAGAAAGGTGACTGGAAAGGAAAAACTCAATGCATCATGGGAATCTGGGAATCCCCCGGCAGCCTACGTCTATTGCAGCATAACTAAGGGAGGATTCAGGGTCACCTGGTCCAGCCCTAACTATATGCTTTAGCAAAAAGGAAAGTTTTAAGCCTAGTCTTAAAAGTAGAGATAGTGTCTGTCTCCCGAATCCAAACTGGAAGCTGGTTCCACAGAAGAGGGGCCTGAAAACTGAAGGCTCTCCCTCCCATTCTACTTTTAAATACTCTAGGAACAACAAGTAGGCCTGCAGAGCGAGAGCGAAGTGCTCTAATAGGGTCCGATCTGAACCGTGAGATTTCTGATCCGTTGCACCACTATAGACCATGCAACAAAGTTTTCCAGCTGTGGGAAAGAGTGTGCACTGCAAGATCCATTTTCATTAACCCCTTCAATTAAATGCGGCCAATGAGGTATGCAATTTGTTGGTAGAAAAATAAAATGTCTGTTTGTGACAAAACTGTCGAGTTTATGTTAGTCACGTGTAATATGTTGACATTTTGTAAAGGTCAAATTGTGAATGTTTTTATGTTGTTGAATAATAAAATTTATTGTTTATGCTCTATGAGAACAATTTACTGTGGAAATTGACTATTTTATGTTGTTTGTACAGTTTTCACAGCATCGTTGGTGGGACCTTTGTGCAATAAATGCCAGTGAAAATCAAGAACGCCTTGTGTCCGTTTTTCAACTTGGAGGGAGTTACAATATTCTTTTAACTCTGTATTCTGGCACTCCTGCTGCCCTCTTCTTGTTAGACCTGTCAGCAGCCTTTGACACGGTTAACCATGATATCCTGCTATTAATTATATGCTGGGCTAAAAGGGTCTGCTCTCCAGTGGTTTTTGTCCTATTTATCAGGAAGGCGTTTTTATGTCAACATAGGCCCCATAGCTCCAAAATAGCCCCTCTTAATTATGGTGTACGTCTAGGCTCGATTTTGGGTCCTGCCTTGTTTGCACTGTATATGTTGCCACTGGGGTCTATTTTCTCATGGTACAACCTTTCATTCCACTGTTTGCAGATGGCTTGCAGATCTATCTGCCTTTAAAAGCAGGGACAGACCAACTTCAGCTACTATTACGCTGCCTGTATGACATCAAACAGTGGATGTCTTTAAAAATTTTAATATTAAATGAAAACAAAACAGAAGTTGTCATTTTTGGTAACTTCATTAATAATCACATTGATTATGTGGGCCTATTTTCCTCCTATTGTAAGACAAATGTAAAAAACCTCACCTTGATGGTTCCTTCAAACTGTGTAGGCAGTTGTGTTGAGCGCAGTAGTCCAATCCAGCTTTTTTCATCTAAGACAACTAGCCAAGACAACTTCCTTCCTTCCTTCCGTAAAAACCTTCCAGCTAATGTCTTTGAACGTGTTATTCATCTCTTTATTGCTTGAATACTGGGCTACTGCAATTCTTTGTACTTTGGTCTGGACCAGGCCTCTATTTATCGTCTCTAGCTGGTCCAAAATGCAGCTGCTCATCTGCTAACTGGCATTAAACGGAAGGAGCATATAACCCCAGTTTTATAGTTCTATACTGGCTCCCTGTTTCTTACAGGATATCAATTTAAACTTTTTCTTTTTGTTTTTAAGGCACTTAACAGCCAAAACCCCTTCTTACCTGTCTGAGCTTCTATTTATTTATGCTCCAGAGAAAACCATGAGATCCAGTTCAAAACTAATGTTATCCATTCCACGGAGTCTCATGTTAACAGAGCTTTCTCTGTGGCAGGTCCTAGACTTTGGAATAGTCTTCCCTTATATATTAGATCTGCACAAACACTTGATGTCTTTAAATCGTTACTGAAGACACATTTTTATGGTCTGGTTTTTAACACACTTTGACCCAAGCATTTTGGTTTTAACAGTCTTAGTTATTGTTTTAGTTGTTTTTATTGACTTATTGTATTTATTTGTTTTGCTGGCATTTTACATTGTTAAGGACTTTGTGCCACACGGACTGTTGGAAATGTGCTATATAAATAAACTTGACTCCTAAATATCATGTTTAACCTGAGTAGCGTAATACCGCGGGGGGTCTGAAAATAATGTGCCGGGAGTTCGCTGTTCTCGTCGGTTCTAGTAAGCCTTGACCACCCAGTCAGCTGTCGCTTTTCTACTCTGTCTGAGCACTGAAAACGCTTTATTTATACAACAAATTCATTCACCCATTCGCCCCCATTCACACTCCGATAGATGCATCGGAGAGCAACAGTATCTTGCCCAAGGCAAGACTGGAACAGATCGAACACCAACCTTCTGGTTAGTGGCTGACCTGCCATACCACCTGAGCTACAGCCACCCCAGTCCAGTCTGTCATCGCCCTCTTATGTCCACCCTTGGAAAGAACATGTCTGCTACATATTCAGAACAAAAGTAAACTTATAATCTGGATCTTGGAACTAAAGTAAAAGAGTGCAGATGACAATATAATCAAAATGGAAATTACAGCAAACAACAAATGTTTATTGTTTATATCTAGTACAGATGTAATGCAATGATTAAAAGCTGTGCATCCTATGTAGATTTTGATTAAAGTTTCTGTGGGTGCCCTGATTAAGGCAATATTGTATCCCATCTAAGACCCATTAGAATCAGGCAAAGGCTGATGCTGATAGGAATCCTGAACAACAGGGATAGGGGCAGGGATAGCTCATTAGGTAGAGTGGTGGCCCCATGATCGGAAGGTCGACTCCACTGAACGGCTACCCTGAGGTACCCCTGAGCAAGGTACCCTCCCTACACACTGCTCCCCGGGCGCTGCATTGGTGGCTGCCCACTGCTTCACTGGGTGAATGGGTTAAATGCAGAGGAACTGTTTCCCTATGGGGACTAACACACACACACTTTTTACAACAAAAAAGTGAATGATTGCTGACCTTTGGGTGGCTGCAGCAGCCGGGATTCCCTGAACAGATGTCTGTTCTGAACGGGGAAGATAATTTTCTCCATTAGCTCATTGATCACCTCCTCCAGACCTGCGATATCCCTCCATGTGATCTATACACAGGAAAAAATCTGGATGAATATTGCCTGCTAGTGCTGATGGAGGAAAAAAAAACCACACTTCCTGTTTGTGCCAGTACTGGGTACTGTCAGTTCTCTGTTGTTTATATGTACAGCTTCAGTTTAAACAACACATAGCGTAAAGTGAGATTACCTGCATGGCCTGCGGGTCAACCCGGTGAGTGTCAATGTGCTGTTCATATGCAGAGAGTTTAACATTTTTAGCTTTATTCTGACCTGTCCTCGTCGTTTCCTGAAAGACGCAAAACCAGAAACAAATCAAAGACTCAGCCTGTGCTCTATCTCAGCATCATACTGTCCTCATCAGCAGGAGACTTTTTTTAAATAAAATATACAGGATGAAATGTGTATGTGTAGGTTCTCAGTCATCTGGGTCATGGCAATCTAAGGAGCTTGGAAAGAAAAGTAGCTGGTTTCCCAGTTGCTTTACTTTCAATCTCCTTAGGATACAGGATGAAAGTTTAAATATACCAAAAAACGGATCATGACGGACCAGTACAGTGCCCACATCACTACAGTCATAGCATCAATCCGACAGACTCTCAGTGCAGGACTCACAAAGCCCTCATGAATTTTCGTACCCACTCTTCCTTAACCTCTGATGCTTTCATCAAGGTGAAAGAAAAGAGGTTAGGAAAAGGTGATAGGAGAGATTTCTGGAACCTACATAGTTTTGGCGACATCCTGTTAAAAATGTTCATCCTACTGTAAAACCTTCCTAGCAGACCTGATTATGAGCAACTTCAATCCATTCTTTTTAGATATTTGTGCTCAGACTGAGTGATTCAGAGTGGTGCTGACATGAACTGTGTTTATGATTGTCTTCTTTATTGTTTGCACAAAAACTTGTTCTGTGTAGTTATTACTCAAGATGTTTTTAAAGTATAATTCTAAAAATGTCATTATCTTTACAAATCAAAAGAAAGGCACAATTAAATATTCACTGAAATGATCAGTTAATACCTGCACATCAGCAAATCTGAGATTAAACATGAAAAAGAATCAGAAATCATTTGCATTAACACAAAAATATCTGAAGACAAAACCTGTTGCAGTAAATCTTGATTACCCTCTCACCTGCCTGTGAGGGTTCTCCCGCTGCTTCATGATATATGAGTATATGAGATGGAGGCCTACGCCCAGAAAAAGAGTGATGCCTCCAACTGGTGCAAGGTTTGGTGCCATTGTCACTTCAAAGATTCTGAGACAAAAACAGGTTTACAAAGATATTAATGTAGAAAATGCTATCAGGAAGATGAATACAAATGGCAGGAATGAGACAGCTCACCACCTGGCCTTCACTTTCTCACTCACTGCTTGTTATTACTGTGTGGAAAACAAATGCTTTATGAAGGACAGAAGTCTAAAAAATGCCCATTCATCTAGAGTTTTACAAAGTTCAGGAAGAAACTGAGAGAAAATCAGAAACCGGAAAATCTAAAACTCACTCAGAATTCACAATGGAATGCTTGCTACTGACATTTCGACATTTCGTTGAGCTTACAAAGCACAGATGTTTCAACACTCATTCCGAAAGTCCCTCTTATTTCCTCTTCCTGACCTCTTTTCCTTGACCTTGATGAAATTGAATTCATTCATTGAAGTCAAGTAAAGGCGGGTAAGAAGATTGATAAAGACTTAATAAAAGATGAGGCTAAAGAACTTGAAAAGAAAAGCGTCTGGACTTCTTTAAGTTACTTGAAGACGTTTCATCCGAGAAGCTCCTTCAGTTTAAATGGAGGAGAGTCCCAGATTTGTCCCTATGTGAGTGTCCCCCAAGAGCTACATGGACCCCCTATAGTTCCTCTACCTAATCACACAAGTCAAGGTGTAAAAACGGGTGTAGGTCACAATTAGCCAGGTGCAACCTAGCCCCGCGCTATCATGTGATTACCCAAGGTCAAAAGGCCCAGGATGTGAGTGGGCATTAAGGCATCTGGAAAGAGATCTCTAAGCTCATTTTTTTGAGATCAGCAGTTTACATGGATGACTCAAAACTGTGGGCACATTGCTAAAAATTCTGGTTCTGTCCAAAAACTCTTCACTTGTTCCTCACGCTAAGTGTTTATAAGTGAGCCACAACAATTGTTCCCAAAAATAACAGGATTTTATTGAAACAGAACAGATATTAACTGAATATTAACTTAAGTTAATATCTGGTAATTTACATATTAACTCCTTGGAGGACGTATCTATTCAATTTGATGATTTATATAGCATCACATCACAGTTGCCTCAAGGCGCCAGCTATTTTTGTGCAAAAATGACTGAACCGTGTGCTATATTAATGTAGTAATAAAATAATATTAGTATATAGGAATACTAAACTTTTTTTGTCTAAATTTTTATTCTAATAAAGGTACTGAGCTTGAATCGGTTAAGTTGAACATGAGCAGTGAACCTGGAGAATGAACGCTAACCTTTTTTCCACTTTTTTTGACAAATGCAATCGCCTGGAAAATTGCTGTAAACGGACCAAACTTCAGTAGGAGAGAACAACTGAGATAGTCCAGCCACAATATGAGGTTAGTCATTAATGTAAGATAAGATAACCTTTATTAGTCTCACACGTGGGAAATTTGTTGCAGCAGAAAGTGGACAGTGCAAAGTTACATAGCAAAAATTAGAAAAACACTGGAATAACATATACTGTTGTTCCAGCGTTTATAGAGCAGCTACCAGAGAATTCAACATTAATGAATTAATGGTATGGAAGTGGAGGAAGCAAGCGGAATGAGTTGAGTAAAGTTTGACTTTTCTGACTGATTTGTTTCGTTAAATGCGCTTTATAATGCGGTGCGCCTTATGGTCCCATAAATACGGTACATCTGAGTAGTTCAGGGCTGCACTTAACTTTAATTATTACTGGTAATATTCTTTGTCACTTTGTTACTGCTATTTTTCCTTAGGTATCATTTGAAAGATTTGAAAAAAAAAAAAAACACTTCAATATCTTACTCTGTGTATCTGTGTATGGACAACAAAGATCGAAGAAACACTTAATTTATAGCTGTGAGGCCAAAAAAAAAGTCTGTACCAAAAAAACAGGTCACACAGTCTAATATTTCATTGGACTGATTTGATTACAGCACAAATTCACTGCTGACATTGTTTCGATAAGCTTCTGCAGTGTCACAAGATTTATTTCCATCCAGTGTTGCATTAATTTGTCACCAAGAACTTGCATTGTTGATGGTAGAGTCTGAGCGCTGTGCCAAGCCTTTTCCAGCACATCCCAAAGATTCTCAATGGGGTTAAGGTCTGGGCTCTGTGGTGGCCAATTCGTGTGTGAAAATGATGTCTCATGCTCCCAGAACCACTGTTTCACAATTTGAGCCTGATGAATCGTGGCATTGTCATCTTGGAATATGCCCATGCTATCAGCGAAGAAAAAAACTATAGATGGAATAACCTGGTCATTCAGTTTAGTCAGGTAGTCAGCTGACCTCGTTCTTGGATCACATACTGTTACTGAACCTAGACCTGACCAACTACAGCAACCCCAGATCTTAGCACTGCATAGGGCTGGGCTATATCATACCATTCACGGTAATACTTTCACTTTTAATCATAGCCCTGAGTTCTACTGTTGTTTTTCTTCGATTTGATTTCACTAAATGTTTAAGTGATCGCTGATCACAAGCATTCAGGATTTTTTTCTGGCCACACTTCTTCCTTGAAATTGATGGGTCCCCACTATCCTTCCACATTTTAATAATGCTTTGGACAGTTCTTAACCCAATTTTAGTAGTTTCTGCAATCTCCTTAGATGTTTTCTCTGTTTGATGCATGCCAATGATTTGACCCTTCTCAAACATACTAACAGCTTTTCCACAACTACGAGATGTGTCTTTCGACATGGTTGTTTATGAAATGAGAAGCAAGTCAAGGAACCAGTTGGAGTTAAATAACTTGTTGCCAGCTCAAAGATAATCGCCCATGCAGTAATTATCCAATATGAGGCTCGTACCTATTTGGTTAGTTAAATCCAGTTGGCGTCTTTTTTTGGCCAGGCATTGTATTTTACTGTGAATGATGCAACATTGGGACAGACTTATGTGAACATCATGAGATTCAGAGTCCTTATAATACTCATATAATTAACAATTAATTTCAAACAAAAAAATCTAAAACTATTAGCATTTTCAGAACATTTGATTCAATGTTAGTGACAGATTATGAAAGTGAAACAAAAATAGCCACAAGGCTAAGAGCTTCACAACTGTCATTACAAAACAGAAACTTAGCGTCTTTAGTAGCCCTTTAGGGACATTTTTCACAGGACGCTCTTAAAATGACCGGCACAAAACAAGGCAACACGCCGTGGCGATGTGAGATTCGCGTTTTGTAGTCTAACTGTAAGGTTGTCCGTAGGTTATCCTCTTTTCCCAAGTCCTTAGCTATTTCCACTCAGCTGGATTGAAACGCACCAAAACTTTAAATCAACCAGCGAGACCTGGGTGTTTTGACACACCTCGGAGCACCATCGCTTCATAAACCCGACACACAAGGATCGCATCCCAGTATTATCCACTACAGGGCACACTCCACATACTCGGACATACTAATATA